TTTATTATTTGAACATATGAACTAACATTGCAAAGTTTAAAGCTTTTTCTTTTCTTTTATTTTATAATTCCAAAATGATTTTTTTATTACAATAGATAATATTCTTACCATGTATTCCATCTTTTTGTCCAAAAGCTACCACTACCTTTTTATTCTCATAGTTTAATTTAATATTGAGTGGAAAATTAAAGGATTTCTCAACCTCAATTTTCGGGACATTGTGATCATGATTGAAGATCAAACCACCAGATTTAGATACAATATAAACACCATATATCACCATTTTTGTAATTCTTTTTCTATTTATATATCTTTATTTATCTTGAAATTATTGTTCAAATTTTTTGACATATGCCGCTTTGGTTTTGTATTCAATAAATGTTTAGTTTACTGATTTTTATTTACATTTTAATAAAATATGTTTATTGAGTCTCTTTCTACCTAAAGAAATTGTGGAAAAATTATTAACTGTGGGAAAAGTTACTTTTTAAAAGTAACAAGTTATCGTTACTCATTACCAAGTTAAAAAAGTAACTATTTACTGTTTACTGGTCCTCAAAAATAACTTGTTATGTTAATTCTACAATGAGTCAATAATCGCCAATAACTTGTACAATTAAAACTAATGATTTTCTTAAGACTGGCAAATTTGACTTTACTCTTTCTCATTAGTTGAGTTAAACGCTCACTATACAATTAACAACTTGTAGATGCAAAAAATTATAGTCACCTGTTCAGATTAAGACTGATAAAGACTTAAGATTTCCAACTATCGACTCGTTGTAAAATCAGTTTTGCCATTACTTAAAAAGTAACGATTCGAGACCTTTTCTATGCTGAAATAAGATCAGTCTAAAATATATTTGGTAAATGTTTACTTTAGTCTTTTCTTTTGCAATGTGTGTGTTGATGAAATTGAATAAGCTTATTCGATGCGTTTCTGCATGAAACGGTACACTTCAGTTCTTTTCTCTTCAATATTGATGGAATTAGACACACTCGAGTTTTCGTATGAAAAAAAATCTGGCTGTAGAAAAAATGTCGCTCTGTTTTGTAAAGCGAGATATTAATCGGTAAAATTGACAACTATTCAGGAATTCAGGTTAGGAAATCTGTCATGAAATAGTAAATATAATGTGAGCACACTAGCGCCAGTAAATCCATTTTTGGTTCGTATACTACGTGGCTACATCAATTTTCTAATTCTGTCGATAAAATCAGCACAAGCACAAAGCAGGACAGAAAATGTCGAAGATTGATGTGGTGCGAGTCTGTGCTCTACAAATTAAAACTATATAAAATTAGGCTTATTCGACGCATTTTTGCATGAAACTAAAGAATCTGGTAGAAAAAAGCGTCTCTCTGCCTCACGAATCGAGATATCAATCGTTGAAGTTAACTATTCAAGCTAGGAAATCTATTACGAAAATTTTTGTTTTATATAGAAATTTTCTTGTTAATAATTTTTTAACGAGTGACGGCTAAAACCTGTTGGAGGACACTCAGGATCATGACCTTAAAACATATGTCAAGATCATCAGGGCGTACTTCCTCCATATTTACTGATTTCTCATTTCTATGTGTTATGATCTAATTATAGCAATAAGGATCGGACACTATAATAAGGGACCAGATTAACTTAATAAACATCATTTATGTGAACAGTAAGTTTTATTATAAAATATTTTAAAACTTTCTTTTAAATCTTAAAATAAATTAAAAATAACTAGAGCTTTAGCATATTAAAATTTGATAAATTTCAGGCGTATCATGAAAATACAATACACATTATCTATACCTGCAAGCAAATATTAACAGGATCTTTTTAAAGTTTATACAATACTATTTTCAGCTATTAGAATCCAATTGTCTGATAATATATAACTCGTAACAATCATGTGAACGATTACTCATATTATTGCTTTAAATATAAAATTTCTATACATGTTTAATTTCTATATCTTTTGGGTAGATTTTTTTACTTATAAGTATTACATTGCTCTAATTTCAACAGATATACCTACTTAATGCCCATGTTTTTTAAATTAATTTTACGATAATAACAGTTTGAGAATCATGCTTTATAATTTTATATTACTTTATAATAGCATGAAAATATAATTATTCACAATAATAATATAATAATATAATTATTTAAAAAATTTTAATTTGAGAGTAATAAAAGTAATCGTTCATATAATCTTGTATAACAAACTATTAATAAAACTAAAAACTATTCGAATCTGAATCGAACCGAATCAGGTAAGATTCGATTCGATTTGAATTTATATGATTCAAATATAAACTATTCAAAAATTTCGAATCTAAGAGATTCGCAAATACAAATCACACATATCTTATATAAAATCTATATCTTACATATCTTATATAAAATCATTATCTTATATAATTTGTATAACTTATATCTTATATAAAATCATATTTTCCGCTAATAAGTCAAATATAAATCTTTTTTATTACCTACATATTGACATTCAAACTAGCAATAATTATGTTATTAATTAAAAGTGGCATTTCAACTATTCGATTTGATTCAAGATAAAATTTTGTCAATTCGGTCCAGTTCAGATTCGAATAAAAAAATAAAATTCGATTCGATTAGATTCAGTTTAAAAAATTCTGCTTGATTTGCACTTCTCTAAAAAAAAAGTGCTTGATTTGCACTTGGCTAAGTGAAATCCAGAAAGCTGAATATCGAAAAGAGATTTTGCAAGGAATTTTACAAATTTTGTCAGCTAAAAGATGATTTTGCTTTCTATCTATTAATATATCATCAATCATTTCTTATGATTAACAAGCAGTCACTGAATCAAGTCTACATAATTTTTTAAAATGCAAATATATGTTTAATGTATATATGTAAAAAGCACTTAAATGTTATTTGAAAAACTAGAGATTTACAGTATTAACGCAGATTTAACTTTTAATGATGACGTAGTATTCGTTTTCTTATAATTAAAGATTACGAACGTGTGACGTAATAATATTTTTTTATTTTTTCCAGTTTATATTAAAATAAATGTATACATAACTGCTTATATATTGCTCACAAAAAGGAACGATATCGAATGCGTGCGATGTTAGTATTATCATAAAAGTGATTAATAAGATATCTTTAAATATAATTTATATGTTTAATTAGTGCTGTACCAAAATTTTAGTTATAAAAAATATATAGCATTTTTACATTAAAAAATGTAATAAAGTTTATCTATTTGATTATTAATAAACAAGTATGTATTTTCATTTATTCGTATTATTTCATATAATCATAAGTATTGCTCACAATTTTATGATTATTGAACACTTCTAATAATGCGAATGTAAAGCTCGAACCAGAAATTGTTCAGATCATTCAAGTACGAGGACTATATATTTAAACCACAATTTTATACGGAATTTAGATACAATAGCAATGTAATATTATAAGCAAAACATACACACATAATATACAAGCAAAAATTGATTCTTCTCATTTTTAATTAAAACTAATTTCCGTTACAATTTTTCTTGCTGCCTCTACTGTGAATATTTGTACTTTTAACTACTGCGAGTCACAAGATCAAAGTAGTTCGTTTATTATTAGTCCGTAGTGCTTAAAATGTTAGAATTTTCAAATGTTTTGATTTTGATCTGTTAGGACAATTTGGCTTCATAATTTAAGTTCGCATATAAACTCTAATAATAAGAAAACAATAAATTCAAGATATCTTACATTATCGTAATAAATATAAATGTATAGTAATCTTAAGAACGTGTCCTTCTTATTTCATGTTATCATATATTTCATATATATTTTTTTATTTTATTAATATAATTAATAAAACAATTATTAAAAAGTAATTCATTTTTTTAATGAATTCTCTTGATACATTCTATTGCCAGAATTTGATTTATCAATTATATTTTGATAAATAGTACGAGATCATTATATTATATAGAATGCAATATATTTAATGAAATGAAAATGGAATTCCAATAATGATTATATTTTAACAGAGATAATTTGAAATATGTTTCATTGTTTCATTGTTTCATCATCAATGTTTATTATTCCTTGCTTGAATTCAATCACAAAAAATATTTAATTTATCTTATTATATAGAAAATTATTTCGAGTATAAAAATTTTAAAAGACTTTGTTAAAAATAAATATCAGATAGTTACTTAGATATTTTTAAGAAATTGTGTTGATATGTATAGTGTATGCGTGTTTATATGATTTTCATTAAAATAAGATTCAGAAACGTATCTATTGATTTGAATAAATGACATCTATATTAATTATCAGTTTTCAAAACTCATTGTTTTATTTAAATCTAACTCAACATAATCAATGTTACATGATTTAAATTCTCACTTAATATCATCAAAAATTTAAATCAAACAATGAAACATTGATTATGTTGAGTTAGATGTAAATAAGAGGAAATATTATAGAGTGGATACTGAATACTCTAAATACTCCTAAAATATTTTTAGGAGTAATTTCTCACATAAATTTGAAAAATTTATATGACCATGTATCTGAAATGGCTTAGTTTCAAAGATACAAGGTATCAAAGTTAAAAAAAAAATTTGTTTTTTCCAAGAAATTCCAAAATTACTTTGGTTATTTTAAATGTTTCATCAAAATAACCAGAATGAAATATCCTGGTTTTCAAAATTTTCGAAAAAATATGAAATTTTTTTCCAATTTTGACATCTTTAAAATTAAATCATTAGATATTAAGTTTTCATTTTGAATTTATGTGAGAAATCATCCCTAAAAATATTTTAAAGCATTTATCCACTCTGTATATTAATTATCAATACACATTTCCGTCTACAAAATTACTTTTTTAAACTTAAATGAACTAATAAATTATAAATGATTACAAATTCGATTTTTACATTAAATTTTATGGAATGTGCATGAAAACAGCTTTTTGTATAAAAATCTTTATTTTTAACGGCTAAAAGTAAAGTACGTGTTTCATTTTCCAATAATAAAGATACGAATGTATGTTGTATACATTCATGATTATATATATGTATATATAATCGTGAATGTAATATGTATATACGTAACGTATTATATTTTAATGAAAACAGTGGAATGTCTTGAAAACGAAGCAATTGTCATAAAAAATTCAAACAAAAGTTGTATTGTGCTTGGAAAGAGACAAATTAATGAAAAAATCAATTTTTGAAAAAATTTATTTTTTAAGATTACATGAAAGTCATTGCTATTTTTTTTTAAATAAAATTATATGATTTTTCTTATACAATATGATGACACTAATTATTCTGTATATAAAAGAATTGTTAAAATATGCTAGAATAACATAAAATATCTCGCCATTTATTTTGTTTATTTTGTTTATAAAATATCTCGTAAATTATTGATTTTTTTGTTATCTTATGCCTTAATATTTTTATATACAGAAGAACTATAATCATATTATGTAAAAAGAAATCATATAATTCCATTAAAAAAAATGGTGACCTTTAAATGTGACCTTAAAAAAATCAATTTTTTTGGAAATTATTTTTATCTATCCCCTTTTAGATTATATAACTTTTAAAAGGCGCCTTGTATATGTATATAATTATAAGTAAATGTATAAATAAAAAAAGTACATAATGCATTATATAGGACTACCTATTATATTTGGACTTTCCTCCATATACATAGCCTCCCAATCAGAAATGATAATGGAATCAACATCGAATGATGTCAAGGATTTATCTGTCAATTATCCCGAAATATAACAAAAAAAATGAAAGTATAATTTTAATATGTGCATAATTTTTAATCTACGTACTTTAACACAATCTTAGAATATTTCTTCAACTGTGCATAATTACTGTGAGAATACATATTTAAATGATAAAATTAATATGTATAACATAACTCATTGACATTTAATAATATCAAATTCATCAATTCATTTAATGTGTAAGGATCATGGATTGTGAAAAAGAAAGAAGATATCTGGAGGCAGCGTAATTTCTTATTTCAAAACAAAAAACAAATAGAAAAAACAAGTAGTCACAGATCTAATTTTTTACGTCATTTTATGGTTATCCTTTCATAAT